AGGACAATCTAGCAGGATTGACAAAATTTGATGGGTCAGATATCTGACTTCACATTCTGTATCATTTCCTCTCAGGCTACCTAGGAGAGACAGCTTAAGGATAGATAGAATTCAGTCTTTCCTTTAATAGTGGAAGACTCTTTTCTGAAAAAAAAACAAACCCTGGTCCTTCCTGGCCTGAGGCAGTGGGTCATTTCAGTGGAAGCAGGAGGCAGGGTTTTTTCCACTTACTTTTCATAATAAATATTCCTTGAATTACTGGAAGGCATTGAATATGGATTGTTTTCTTACAGAGAAATAAATGAGTCTTTGAGAGTAAAATGAATCAAACCTCTAGTGTATTAATACTTTCAACACCCAAAGAATAATGTTTTTAAAAATCACTAGAAATAAGTAGGTTTCTTAAGTACAACACGGTTGAGCACAGGTCATCTGAAATCAAATCTTACTTCTGCCTTGAACTCTGTCAGATGAATTTTGCTCTAGCCTAGCCTTTTCCTGTTGTAGCTGTAGTTTCTTAAAACCCTACTCAGAAGAGATATGTCAACATCTGTGGCTAGAAACTTACTCCCACTTAGTCAGAGCCTAATAGATTGCACCTGCACTAATGAGTCAGTAAGGCATCCACTTAGCAGCTCCCAGTAGATTCTTATTCCTTGGAACTGGGACACAATAATAAACAAATCATGATTGCTGATTTTCCTTGTAGAAAAAGCTCTTTACAGGCTGTAAAAATTAAAGAGGCACTTCATGGTGAGGTCAGAGTTTAGAAATGCCAAAAATCTATACAAGATCTTAGGCTGATTGTTTTCTTTAAAATCTGTTCTGTGCTAGTGAACTTTGTTTCAGTGTAATTAAACTGTCCAAATATTAAAACCCATTTATTAAGTATTTTTACTGTTCCTCTACTGGGAACTGAGTTACAGATAAGGAATTAAACTAGTAGTTCCTGAACAGGGGTACAGACACCATAAGCAGCATACAGCCACTACAAAATGTGTGTGCGCCTCGGTGAAGAGCAAAGAGGTCATCGTGCATAGCTGTGAAAGCAAGACATGACAGATTGGGATATAACCATTTTCCATCACCAGACATGTTGGTTTAAAATCCATGAAGTAATTCCTGTTCTCATTCTCACCCAGGGGATGCTTGAGGCCTCTCTGATGTGCTGCCATCTGTGACCAGCTGCCACTAAAGAGCTGTACCTGGTGGAACCTGAAGGCTGTACAGGATAGAGTCCCAGAGCATAGCTCTGGAGCTTGCACCCCACTGAGTACCTGTTCTCTCTGCCTATGGATGCTACTGCTACCAAGCACATCTCCTTTCCTAATACTCATTTGTAAGTAAAGCTTAAGCAAGAAGGAATTTGACCTCTTGTAAGAAAGAACACAAACATTTTAACTTCAACCCTGATTCCTGAAATAAGGAGGAGAGAAAGTTAACATGAAATACTAAATTATTTAATTTCTATAGGAAACGTTGATTATTGAATAATCTATTGCATTTTATTGTTTTGGCCATGTTTAGACTTACAAGGATGAGAAATCCCATACATATCTCAGCATTAGTTGTATAAATACTTCGAGCTAATATGTTTGCAGTTTCAGTCTCCTTCCTAGTTGCTTTAAGTAATTTACCGAAACATAAACTCAGACAAGCACTATAAGAGAAAGATGGCACAAAATATGTATCACCCTCACAGACATTTTTCTTCTATGTACTGGAAATAGAATTTGGTCAACTGATCATATGCTCCAAGAGTTGAAATATTATTAATCATTTTTTGGACTTCAGGTCAATGCATGAAGTTAGCAGTTGGGAAGCAGAAGATGTTTATAAATCCTGATGATTCTGCATTTGATATAAAGTAGAGCTGCCATCTCTAAATGTCTGAAATCTGTGTAAGCTTAGAGTGTGTATGAAGAGATTACTCATTACCTGTAACTGGAATGATTGCCTACTGGCTGCCAAGTGCTATATTCTCAGACTATTAGATGTAGTTTGCAAATAACCCCTGGTTACTTTAAACTATTTAGTACAAAGAATGTTATATGCTTTTTACAAACACTTGAAATTGGTTTGCCAATATGTAGTTCATGTTATGGTTTGCGATCAGCTGTTTAACAAGATACAAAGAAATAAAACAGTGAGGACTGAAATTTCTTCTCAGGATTCTAGGGTCAAAAGTATATGAAACCCTATGAAACACCTCTGCAAACCCCTTTGGGTTAGTGGAACTTGCTTCAGTACTTTTCATAAAACACACCTTAAATTACCACTAGGTAAGTTGTAAAAATTCATTATTTAGGAAAGACCTAGAAGAGACAGTGCTAAACTGAAGCACAGACTAGCTTCACTATCTTATTGTAGTCCCACAGTGACTATGTTTCTTTTCTTTCCTCTAGTTCTGGAAATTAAAATCACGAAGCAATCCAACACATCATCATCCAGGAGTGTAAGTCAAGACTGAATTTCCAAGGCCTGGATGTCTGCTCTGACTTTCATTCTTTGTCCCTGTGAAAAAGATGTCAAAAAACACCACAGAGAACTCAACAAACGCTCATGCAGCTGTTCTAGGCCTGTTCCTGGGAAGCATTTCACTGATCACTATTGTCATGAACATATTAGTACTATGTGCTGTGAAAACTGAAAAGAAGCTGCAAACAGTTGGCAATCTATACATTGTCAGCCTCTCTGTTGCAGATCTTATAGTTGGTGCAGCTGTTATGCCCCTGAATATTGTGTATCTCCTAAGTCCTGTGTGGCCTCTGGGCTTGCCAGCCTGTTTGTTCTGGCTCTCCATGGACTATGTGGCCAGCACTGCCTCCATTTTCAACCTCTTCATCCTGTGCGTTGACCGTTACCGCTCAGTGCAGCGACCGCTGAAATACCTCAAGTATCGGACAAAAACGAGAGCCTCACTCATGATTTTGGGGGTTTGGCTGCTCTCTTTCACGTGGGTCATTCCAATCCTAGGATGGCACGTTTTTGCTAATAAGGGGGAAAGGAAAGTAAAGGAAAACAAGTGTGAAACTGAATTCTCCGATGTCACCTGGTTTAAAGTGCTGACAGCCATTGTCAATTTCTACCTACCCTCTATCATGATGTTGTGGTTTTACTGTAAAATATTCAGAGCTGTTCGAAGACACTGTCAACATCGGGAGCTCATCAATGGATCATATCGGTCTTTCTCAAAAAAAACCTCCACGCATCATACTAAGATGAAGAATGAGAAAAATACTTGCCTCCCAAAGCAAATCTTGGATGAGAACACCCCTCCCAGAGATAAGCAAAGCTCCCCACAGCCCAAAAACATGGAGGCAGAGCTTCATTTCAGTAATCCTGACAGGTCTTCAAAGGCATTTAATGGAAAGAGTAATGGGAAAGTCTTTAAATGGAGCTGTTTTCCTCTCAGCAGTGCCCAGTCTGAGCCAGGCCTGGACAAAGCAGGAAAGAAGTGCATGTGTGCAACACACAAGAATGGAAATGACGAGGAGTCTTGCTCACAAGACAGTGACTTGAGTGATGCGTCAGACAACCACACTTTCACTGAGGGGGAGCTGTGTAGAAAGCACTCCAATTCCAACCCTGAAAGAGCCTGCAGCCCTCAGGAAAAGACTGAGAACAGGGATTTCAGAGGGATGACTTACCTGAGGAAAACCTGGCAAAATCTGCATACCCATTCCAAAAGGAACATTCAGGGACTGCATGGGAGAAGGGAGAAGAAAGCAGCAAAGCAGTTAGGGGTCATAATGGCAGCCTTCATCCTGTGCTGGATCCCCTATTTTGTCTTATTTATGGTAATAGCATTCCATGACCATGACGAATTTCCAAAATTACACATGGCCACTATATGGCTTGGCTATTTGAACTCCACCTTAAATCCATTCCTGTATCCTCTTTGTAACCACAATTTCAAGATGACATTCAAAAAGATCCTTCACATTCACTGATTTTGGTCTGACTTTTTTGAGCTCAAAAGCAGCTCAAGAATTCAACCAAACCAAATGTTCCAGTTTGAAAGGGACCATGGGTAACCTCAAAGACTTTGGAAAACTGTATTTTATAAACAAGTGTCAAGAAAAGTGGGAAATATGCACTTAACAGTTTTAACACATGTGAAGAAGAGCTACTTCAGATAAGGAATCTGAAAAACTCAGGGACAATCTCTGAACTGTTGTACTATCATAGACCTTTCACAATTTGAGATCACCTTGTTCACCATGTAGGAAAAAAATGGAGATACAGATGGAGGTCTTCAATGACTATAAATTATTCAGCTGTAGAAAAGGAAGAAATAGAATAACATTTCTGTGATTGGCCAAATATATTTTTCTCTTTCAATTTACTCCATCAAACACAGGAACACATTGCTGGTGAAGTGAGATTTGCAAGTGAAGGTACTTCATGTAGTCAAAGGAAGAACTTTCAGCTGTTAAAAAAGTTCACTCTATTTATTTATACCTTATAAACGTATTGTACCCTACCATATCTCTTCAATATCATGTTTGATCCATTTACACCTGTACCTTAACCTCTTGGGGAAAAAAATAGTATTTTTATGTTCTAGAAATTTTGCTAAGACTTTCCATACTCAGTATACTGTCACTACGTACTCAAGAAGGGGCTGTTGCTGTTTCTAGCTTTGTAGAATTTGGTTGGCAAATACTCAAGCAGACAGTGGCAGTCTGGATCTTGTAGTAGGCACAAATAGGAATCTGTGTCTTGTAGCAGGCAAACTCTTCCTAATGAGCTGAACTCATGAGCAACAACCCAAGCTTGCAAAACAGAAAATGAAATAGAGGAAGTATGTTCACTTTTTCTATCCTTTAATTGCATTTTATAAAACTTACTGTAAATGCTGTATTTCAGGAGGAACACACAATAACAGAGTACTGTAGGTTAGAAGGGGTCTCAAGAAGACATCTAAGCACAACCCACAACTGAAAGCTGTGCTGCCTTTGATGTTGCATCATATTCCTCAGGGTCTCATCCACAATTTGAATGACATACATCTGTAAACGCAGCTTCAGCTGGACATGCTGGGAGGCAGCACTGGTAGAGGAGTTTGCAGCTAAGGTTTACTCTACCAGCTTTGAGCATTCACTTGTTCAGCCATTGAGTAAGTACTAATTTTCAAAACCAGACATACAGAAACCAGTCCCCTCTTCCTAAATGCAGGCAGGTATGGATTTGTTCCCAGAGGAAGAAAACATAGTTCCTGAGCATAGAAAGGTTTGAGTAGGAAGGAACCTTCAATGTCATGCAGTTCCACCCCCTGCCATGGGCACGAACACTTTCCCCTAGTCCAGGTTTCTCCAAGCCCCATCCAGCCTGGCCTTGAACACTTCCAGGGATGGAGCAGCCACAGCTTCTCTGGACAACCTGCCAGTGCCTCAGCACTCCCATAGGCAAGAATTTCTGCCTAACATCTGATTTCAACCTCCCCTCTTTCAGTTCAAATCACAGTACGTAGGGGCATGTGTCATATGCACTAACTGATCAGGAAGCTGCAACTTCACAGAGCAATTACACCAAAATAAGAGTATACAGACTGGGGATCAGGGAGGAGAACTGAGGCAGAGGAGATCTCAGGCCCTGCATTAGCTGACCATCTGAAGACCATGTAGCCCCTTGTTTGTAGCACACCAGTAAAACATTCATTCCTGTTCTTCTGCTATGGAGCTGGGTAAGAGAAGCATTTTAAGCAAACACTGCCAAGTATATTAGTAGAAGAAATTCCAGAACCAAATAACTTCATTTGATGTAAAGGTGATCTCATGTAAGTCTTTTCCATACATGTAGGGAAGAATGATTAGAAAGGCATCCAAGAGGTTCCATGTAAAAAGGATGTCCTCTGATTCACTTTGTTGTGCTGATGAACTTACCACATCCTGAATGCTTTCGTGCTTCCAAACTTGCTCAGTTAGCTTAACAACAAAGTGCTGATGGAACTGAACTCCTTCAGCTGAGTGCTGTCAGGAGTTTGGTGGGAGGAGTTGCTGTGATGTTCTGTGTAATATCTTTATTACATCAGAAGCAAAAAAATGGTAGTTTAATGGTTGGAGGAGAAATTCTGAATTCTGTGTTCTTAATTAAAGATCTTGAGCTACTTAGAATTCCTCTGTGCCACATGTGCCTATTTTGTAAGGTGAATATGGCAAGACTCACAGTACCAATGCAGCACTTAGGATAATGTTTGAATGATGCTTATAAATTTTGGACATAGTACTCTAACTAATGCAAAGTATTATTCCTCTGCCAGTTTCATTTCTCTGAATTAAACACCTGAGTGTCAATAGTTGTGTTTAAAGTATTCGATACTAAATGAAGCCCTACAATATCTGCATTTTAATAAACTGGAAAAATGTGTTAAAGGAATAAACTTCAGGCTACTTCAATGTATCATACAGGGTTCAGACGTTAGCTGGCTTTGGTCTCAAGTAGCATGAGGAAAAAACTGCAATTAGTGAACTCAAATCTAGGAGAATAAAAAAAATGCAAAATACAGAAGCAGAATATAGAAGCATCAAAATTCATTCCAGAATTCAGAAAACTTTTTCACTGCAGGAGGAATACCTGCACAAGTAGTAACATACACCTTCATTTCTTTCAGAGTACAAAGCAGCATCTTTTGAAACATGCTCTAATCCCATTGCCTTTCACAAACAATTGCTCAGATTCACTGCCATTATGTGTTTTGGTTTTTTCCTATTGTGATACGCAACAGCAATTCCAGCCACAACGGATGGTAATTAGATGATCCCTGAGGAAATAAAACAGCAGCACACTAAGTCAGCTCCAGTTATTAGTGTGCACTGCCGAGACATGTTTACCAAGGGGCTTCTTAGGGTCATCAGGAACTCCATTCTCTTGACCGTGACAATTGCCTTTTCTGACTTTAAAATGTACTAATACATGAAACAGCAATCTAAACAAGATCCCTGAAAACTGCTCTAAAAATGATGATGAGGATGATGATGGTAACAATGAAAACCTCTGGTAAAATTACCGAACAGTTAAACACAGCACACCTAAGCCCAAGCAAATAAAGCTTCCTCAATATTTTCTGCAATCTCACTTCATTGTTATCCATGACCTAACTGTAACTGTGTTAATTACAAAGGGGAAGTCATCACGGGCCTCTCTGATGAGACAGATATAATAGGTAATAATAAAACAGGAAAATGGGATAGTGCTTATTTTAAATGACAATTAAGATGGTACCTAAGAGGTCTATCCGTTTATTTTACTGAATAGGCAATTCAAATGGCTCTGGATGTAAGAGAATCAGAGGAAAGGAAAATTAGGGTAAGGAGTAGAGAATCCTCCTACCACGTGGGGCTAAGGCTCAAGAGAATATTTCAGGTGTGGTTTCCTGTAAAATATTTTCAGTGTTTTCCAGTTAATAAATAAGGTCAGAGGACACACTGTTTTAAGAGAACATAACGAGTGTCTTGGAATTTCTTGGACTGGAGTCCTACTGTGATTAAGGCGGGGTGAGGACAGCCAACCTGGCTTTCCAGGGGCCGAGCGAGCGTCTCTCACAGTGTTCGCTGCGTCGATGGTGACATCTGGTGGGAGACGAGCGAATTTCGAGCGTCTGCATCTAATACTGTGCATCATGGAAGTTCGCCATCTAGTTCGGGCTTTTCCTCTATTATTTTCAGGAAATGTCGCAGTCAGTAAAGGAAACATTAGTGTTTCCAAATATTCTGGCCTCATTTCATCATCTAAAAGGATTCCATTACATTTTTTGGTGAGACCACATTGTCATGCGCTTTGTGATAGCCCAATAAATGAAAATGACAGAAAGATTCGCTATAAAAATGCATTTCTAAACCTCAGATATTAACACAGAAAGGCTCTTCTGAGCACTTCTAGAGGAGGCCCTGAATTCTGCAGATTTTCCACTGCTATCAGGGGTGCTAGAGGACTACCCTCCTACCTTAGCTGGGAAGGTTAAAGCTCCTGCAGAGGAGGTGTAAGAATACACTTGGAAGTTTCAGTGCATTCCCTCCACCAGAATGAGAATTAGTTCATTTGGAAATGCCAAGATAAGTTTAAATACTATGCATACATATTCACATTTGGTTACTTATTAAGTACAATAACAAAATTATTAATTTTCATCAAATTACGTGTCCAATGAAGAATTAGGATATAAAAAGAATGAGAAATGGCTCCTGAAAATAGTCACACTGCTGCTATCAAGTTCCAAATTATCTTACAAGAATTATCCATACCTGGCAACAAAACAAATCATTTCTCCATGGTCATCTGACAGTGTAAAATAGAAATAGAGACGATCAAAAGGTGAGATGAACATTCTATATATGCACAGACACATAAACTCACACACAGGCAAAAGTGCCATTTGCAATCTCCATCAGTTAAAAAGTGCAAGAGATGCACATTTGTGTGTGGTAATGGTTAAAACCATATTGGCATCTGCTAAGTTTAAGTGTCTTGGTAGTTTTAACAATATTTGTATCCCTCATCATTTTGGTTTGTCTGCCAAGACACCTTGAATTTAATCTGATATGTTTCAACTAAAAGATGCCTTAAAAGCACAGCACCCACTGCTCATACACTGGCACTGTGTCACTAAAATGGATCCCTGCTGTGTCATTAAATTGATGCCCTGAGTAAAATCAAATGCCTTTTGTTTTCATCAGGTATAACTTAGACCTCAAAAGCAACACAGGCCTGGAAACTGGACTCAGGTAACCTGCTGGCAATCTCATTTCATCCTCACTAGATACGAGCAATCCCTAGATATGAAAAATCCCTGAACCCAGTTCTTCGAGGGGGTCAAACCTGTTTCTCTATCATATCCGTGTGCTCACAGGAGAGGCACTGCCTGTGCCACAGAAGTTAGGGAAATTGCTCACAGAAGTCTATCAACATGGCAATTGCAAGATAACACCTTTCTGAGCACATTCCTACTTTC